TGACAGATAAGCAGCCATAATGAAATACAATAAAACACAACGTACAATTTTCTAGAAACTTAAGATGTACATAAAAACAAGCTCTAATCTTACATGTTCTCCACTTGTGATCTGTCGTTCTCAGTTTCTTTCACCCCCAAAAAATAGCTATCTACATTTAATTGGACACCTCTTATTGGAACCAAAGGTTATTTTAAGGTTACAAATCACTAGAAACTTATTATGTCCATTTTCGTTTCCAAAATATTTTCTTGTTCCAGGAAAACACCTCCTGAGTAGTTGAGAAGTACACTTGCAATAAAGGCACAAGCCTCCTTCAGCCTGGCAAAACAGATTATCAGCTAAAAAGCCAACAGCAGGCAAGTACTTTACAATGTTTCCATTGTATCTTTAAGCTAATGATTTATTTGCCTAATAATGTGGAATGTTTAATTTTCAAACACGGTGGTTCAAGCAATACAATAAAACTCCAATTCAGAAGGGATTCATTATTGGGCTGACAATGCGTGCTTTTTTTCTTGCAGATCTCCCAACTGTCAACTGGGGCACTGCTCATCACCAAGAAGAATAAATCATTTAAGGATAAAGAGGAAATGGTTAGCCAGTCAACAGAGCTAACTGGCAAAAGCAATTTGGGGTGACTGATTCCAACACTGGAATCCACCTTCAGGTCTTGCCCTGACATTCCCAACACTCGTGCAATGTACAGGGCAGTGTAGGGAGCACAGTGCTGCTTAACTAAACATTTGCTAAACTCGCCACAAATTAATGCAGATGTCGCAGCTAAAAAAGTGAACCCAAATATTCTATGCAGTTTGTAAGACTGTTTTGGTCTTCAAATTTTAGGTGGTGCAGAATTGATAAAAATCTGCAATTCATTCTTCGTTTGAAAGCTGATTTTCCAGAGGTTCAAAGGGTTAAGACTAGGTAAAATTTCAGGTCTGCTTCATTTCAAACCCCCAATGAATAATTCACCAATCAAATTAATCCACATGGAATTATGGAAAGATTAAAATGTGCTACAAGGTCAGATTCCGTCCAAATAGAATATATCATTTACATGTAGCATACATACTGTAGCATGGTTAGGTGATTCAATAGTTTCTTACCAAGTGTAAGTTGTAATTGATTTAACGTGCAATTCTTGACAGGTTTCACTCTAGAACATATTCTTGCATTTATTACTTTTAAGATACCAATATACTAAATGAAAGGAAAATAATGGACATCTTACCCAGCATAAAAATCTGCATTTTGAGGACAATCAGGAGTATACTAAAGAATACACTCAAATGCTCAGTTAAATATTATGACAGTCGATATTACCACTTTGGGGGAAGAGTTTTTTTTTTGAAAAATCTGTTTCCCAGTTCCCATTTTTAAAATGGGTAATTTGATAAAATGCCTCATCACATGTAATCATCTTAAAGCACTTTCTGTTTTTCTGTAAAATGTAGGGTCTGAATTTGTGGGCCTCGTTGAACTTCTAAGATTTTCTTATGGGTATCAGTGGTGCAGCTATACAGGAATACCATTTTAGTGTCAGAAAGTTTGCACGTAGTATATTTACAATCATTTCACTGGAACTGATTGCCAGCAATAATTCTTCACTACACAGTGATTAACAGGCAATTAACGTCATCAAAAGGGGTAAAATGGAATCAAATCCCCTGCACAGTTGACAATTGGAAATTCCTGAGTCAATTCCTGGTGGTGCAGAGGCTAATTCAAACTTCATGCCAAAGAGTTATAGAAATGCTCACAAAATTGCAACCCACTCAAATTGCTCATGCAGCAGAGGCTGTAAACCAGCAACAAGATGAACAATTCATTTGGCTGGAAGCCCACAGGCCATTCAACAAACCCAGCTGATCCTGGTTTCTGTCCCAATTAATCTCCTGGGGAAAAAAACTGCAAAATTTGTCCCTGAGATCCAGACAGTCAAGCTCAGTATCCTCCACTCAAAGTTTATTTGCTTACACCACACTTATTCAAGACTGCCAAGTTGCTTACCACAGATGACTTGTTTATTTTCTTCCTCTGCTTTCCTCATCACTGTCTCATTGTAGCATGCACCCCAGAAAGAGATTGGTTTTGATATCATATTAGGAAAGAAATCTAATGGGTGTCCCAGCCAACAGACCAACAAGGTCTGAGCTGCACCTGGTAAACTGCTGAGCAAGGTATTGGAGTCAAATAAAGCACTTCAGAGGTCATGTATTGGATGTTATGTAAAGTTACATTAATATAATAATTCATGCATTTTATATCGCATCTTATGTTGTCGAGACGTCTCAAAGTGCTTCACAGAATATATTGCAAAGTGGATTGACTGTGTATTTTGGGGCGAAAACAAGTAAGTGAAACCATGCTGTTTATCAGTACAAAGCATGGAAAGCTTCCCTATAGCATAACATAAAGCCACAATGGATAAATTCTTAATGTACCAGTGGAAACATCTTCAAAAGCACCTTGGTCTTCTTCAGAGTGACATGTGAGACATGGTACATGTGAACTGAGGGAATCATAGGCACCCATGAAAACAATAACTATAAGTCAAGATAAGGTATTTTAATCTTGTAATAGACAATTGTTGGTTTGAAGATCATTGGTTTCACTAAATGTGTGTGGATATGTTAAGGCAAATGCTATCAGCAAAAAATCAAAACCTAATTGGTTACAATCTCTTAAAATATTATATTTAAATTACAACCAAGACAAAACTAATATCCACTGGTAATATTTTATAAAAATCTAAAATAGCAACAAGCAGTGGAAAGATTGTGTAATAGGTGAAGTACAGGGCGTTTCTAAAGCTGCTGTTCAGCTGCCATCTCTTTTGTTATCTATTACACTCTTCATTAAATCTGACATTAACAGTCAAGATTTAACATGGATCATTGTTACATTGGCCTTCATTGGCAAACATTGTGTGGAGGTTTTCATTTCTTCTGTGCTACTCCATTAAGCCTTGTTGTCATGGGAAAGAATCTTTCATCAGTGTTTGTTTAAAACACTGAGGTCAGCAATGAAGTTAGCTTGGAAACCTATGCAGTGCCATTTGCTGCTTGAATCCTGGAACTAAGGATGATTGGACCAACCCATTCCTTCTCACTAAACTAGCAGCTTTCACACGACAGAAACTCTTCACATCACTGTCATACCATGTTTAGAGAATACACATTAGCAGGTGGTAAATTACACTAAATATCCAATGAAGTGTTGTACAACAGCACTAGTGATTTATTAGTCAGAACTTGATCATCTCTGCACCACATTTCTTGGCGAACTGACCTCTCATTTAGCAGAATTCAAACACTCTCTATTTCTACTGAATACTCATTAAAGTGTCAACGGTCGATATGGTTTGCACTCAGTCCATGAGGATTGAAGAGGCCACCTTCAGTCATAAATCAACACTTATTTATTGGATCACATGGGATCTACATTAGTCTGCATGTCAGAGCTGACTAATAAAAGTATTCAAATTCCTCTGTCCAGTTATTGGAACCAAAAGTATTCTGGCAAAAGAAATAACTGTACAGTTTTTAGCTAAGTTAACACAATGTGTCTGGCTCAGTTGGTAGTACTCTTCCCCTCTGTGTCAAAAGGTTATAGGTTCAAGCCCCATGTCAGAATTGGAATTCATAATCTAGGCCGACATTCTAATGCAGCGCTGGGGGTGTGCTGCATTGATGGACGTGCCGTCCTTCGGATAAGGCGTTAAATTGAGGTTCACCTGTTCAAGTAATCATTAAAGATCCCATTGCACTACTTGGGGAAAAAGGCAGTTTCTCATGGTGTCCTGGCCAACAGTTCCCCAAATAAAATTGGTCAGTTGTTTCATTGCTGTTTGTGGATACTGCTGGACACAAATTGGTTGCTGTGTTCGCCTACAAAAATACAGTCACTACACTTTACAGTAAATCCTATGAAGTTTTTGTTTGATGTCTCCTGACATGGAAGCAAAATCCCCATTTTTTATAATTATTAATGTTATAATTATTGTTATTATTAATTTGTTTTCTTTTATTATTATTACTGTATATGTGGCTATATGGCCATATAATTGGTCAGTTAATAATAACCTTCACTTTTAATATAGCATCTATGTATTTTATATAGTGCCAGCTTAGTTATTGTATTTGTAAGCAAATGTAACAGCCAAATTGCACAGAGTTTAATCCACAAACAGCCATGAAGTGAATGACTAATTGTATCGGGGGTGGGAGGGGGGGAAATTGGTAGCCAGGACACCTGGAGAAATGCCTTCTCTTTAAGCAGTGCCATGGGATCGTTAATGTCCATATGACCAGGCAGACAGAACATTTGTCTAATCCAAGTGATGTCACTCTGTAAATACAATCCTTACATTCGCTTCTCATGTTAGAAATTTAGAAAGTGTTGTCAGTTTTCGGTGTACTATTTGTCAGACAATCAGCAGCTCATTGTCCAATCTGAATGGTGAATACAAATAATTGAGGAAAAGAGGCCTTTCCTCTTTTTATTCTTTCAATCTTGAGAGAAGATGACTCAGAGGGGACCTCATAAGAGGTGTACAAAATGTTAAAATGAGACTGAAAAGTAAACCCAGATTTAGGTTTATAGTTGTAAAGTGCAATTTCAAGACAGATACCAGAACATTTTCTTTACAACGACTTGAACAGATTGCCAGGAAACATAGTAGAAACCAGGACCTAAACGCATTTTAAAAAGTAGCTTGATACAATGATGAATGGATGATAGGAAGGATGAAATGGGATGGACCAAAGGACCTTCTTCATCTGACCAATCATGTGATCTTCTCAGCTTCCTTTCATATTCATTTTACAATAAGCATCACCAATGTTTATTCATTTATATGGCACAGTTCCCAGACCCTGCCCCCCACCGCATGTTCAAATGGGTTTTCATAGAAAAAGCATTGTGTGGCATCACATTTGCAGGTGGCAATTTATACCAATATCTAATCAATTGATGAACAACAAAGAGTCACTTACCGTGGTCTGCGAAATGCAAGTCCATACTGTTGGCAAGCCAGGCCCACAGTGGGTGTGTAAACAATGGGCATAAACTTCTCTATATCTAAGGTCAGCACTTTGTAGAAAAGCTTCTCATTTCGATCTTGAAGGCACATTAGGAATATATAACTAAAAAAAAGAATAAAACAAGAGTATTAATAGACTAGGAGATATTATGTTACAATACACTGTGGAAAAATGTGAATATATTTTCCATTCAACAAATGAGTAAATATAGAACTCTTGTATCAAAAGTTAATATTTACTGTAGAAGAGGCTCAAAATTTTTATTTAAATTACACCAAAGGAGGAATAAAAGAGGATTTTTTCTCTTCTGTTTGTTCAGCTATTAAATATATTTTCTTTGGCTGTCTAATTGATCTCATATTGCTTAGGCATTAAAAATTAAACGAGACATTTGTACCACTGAAAATCAAATTCTAATTAATTGTGGTATATTTTGAGGTCTGCTCCAGTAGTACATTAAACACTAAGTATAAGAAAAGTAAAAAATAGCCACATTTTCATTTACGTTTCAGACCAATAACCAACAAGACCTTGGATTTCACAACCAATTTAACAAAGATTGTTGAGATTTTCAAGAGTTGAAAAACAAAAGTGACATTGAAAACACAATCCCCCAAAGCATTCTCTGTAATGGATTGAATTTCTTAATGTTGACTTCTGGAATTTGAGTTTCTTACTTCCCTCACAGTCTCCAGTGCACTGTAATTAGATTTCCAAATTCCAGTTTCTAATACACACAATACAAAATTACATTTATAAAGCGCCTTTCACATCGGGAGGACATCCCAAGGCGCTGAACAGTCAAGGATTAGGGACCAGGAACTGAGCGGGGGTTGCCATCAGGAAGGATGGAGGGCAGGGAGGGTGGCTGAAGGCACGGTTGAAGAGGAGGATCTTGAGGGGCGCCCTGAAGGAGGCAAGGGATGGAGCGAGGTGAAGGGATTGTGGGATGGAGTCCCATAGGGTGGGTGCAGAAATGCTGAAGGCCCGAATGCCGATGGTGGGGTTGACTGGGTGGGGAACATGGAGCAGGCCGGAGCCTACTGAGCAGAGGGAACGGATCGGTTGATCTCAGCTGTGCACTGAAGTTGACTGTAATATTTCCAGAGAGTCAATAGAAAAGGGGGAATAAAGGCACAACACTCCAGATTACTATTCGATGACTCTTGCTTGTACAAAGCTGTGGGTGTCAGGGAAAGAAAACATCAAACTCGATTGAAATGCTGCTCTTTCTCCCGCCCCCCCCAACCCCATGCCTCCGATAATTAGTAGCTTCGCAATACTCATTCACCTTATTAAATTACAGTAGGACTAGGACTTGTTGCCCATTTCCAAAGTGTTGAATTCCTGGATAATCCCAAACCATTGTCCCTGATAAAAAGAAAATGGTACAATCTAAGGATACATATGGCACATGACCATGAGTGACACTACTGCAGCAAACTAAGAAAACAGGAGGTGCGATCCAGAAATTCTGCTATATGAAAATTGTGAGTTACTGGTATATTATGCCAGTGTATTTTATCGGATAATACGCCAGTGAACCTCATACAGTATTTCAGTTCCTCTTTAAAATGTCAATATGCAACTGACATTGACTACAGAACATTTGCAATGGAACCTTTGTGATACAATCTCAGGATATACCACATGTGCTTTTGGATTATGATCCAATTAAATGGTTATCAGTGCCAGATTTTGTACCAAGGCTGCTTCATCTATCGCAAATTAGTTCCACTAGGAAAGATTCAGCGGTTTCATACAATCTAACTGAACTATAGTGACAGATGGCTATTCATTTTCAAGTAACACTACGCTAGGATGGGCTCACTGTTCAGCTCAATCTCTATTCAGTGCTTGCACTAATGGGAAAAAATGCAATAAATGCCAATGAGGAGGCTTTGCTATGTTCACATTCAGTACAAAGGAGTTATTGAGAGTACATTTTGTTACAGTTGCAATTCAGCACTGCTCACAGATATTGATCTTAATTTTCTTTCCTCCAAGCTTAATTTATAAATCACTTTAACCAGCAAAAAATCTAGTGTAGTTGTTTTAGACTTGCCCTCACTTTTCAACATGTGAAATTCACTTTGTGCTCACATTCTAAAGGATAATGCGATTCTGTGATATAACACAGCAGCTAACATTTTCAATGTAGAACAGAAGTAAATGCTACAGAGGAACAGAATATAGCGCAATTGTTCACCTACAAATACGTGGTCACAAAACTTTATAGTATATCCTGTGAAGCATCCTCCCAATGTGAAAGGCATGATACCAAATGCAAAGATTATTATTACTAACAGGATTTAAAACTGCACACACTCAATCAGATTTGTCCTTCATAAAGTCCTTCATAAAGTACTTCAATGTTCTTCCATTTCCAAAATATACAGCATTTGATTTGAGGCACAATTGTATCCCTGGTTATTAAAAATAACCAGTGCAGAAAACCTACATTCTATACACGATAACTGTAGGTGATCAGCCTTATACCTAGTGTTAGAATGAGGAATCCACAGGTCATCTTAAATTATTGCTGTGTTTCTAATGCAGAGAGTACATTGGTGCTGCACAGCACAATTTGAAACCCTGACTGCTGGATGATTCAAAAACTTTAAGACAAGTTTGTGTTAATCTTTTAAACAAATCCTAGAACAATATTCTAGCATTTGATTTTGGAGTTCTGATGCGGTGCTAATTTACAATTCCCTGACACTACGATGAGGCATTGCCAGAGCAAGTTGCTTTGTCTCCAACAGTGTAAAGCTCTCTCTACATAGCTACAAAAAGCAACTTAATCCTGATCTCAAAATTTCCATTATACGATTGCCTACATTTCCATTTCTCACACCAACCATTTTTATGTTTCTTGTAGATCTCATTCATGATGCAATTTATTAGCATAATCTGAGCTCAGCAAAGAAACTGTACATGGGTGGATTGAAGAACTGGCGCATTTGTGGGCAGCTCTACTGAAAGGGAACTTGTATTCTCTTTTAATGTAGATTTCATGGGTATTTGGAATATTCAGGCACATTCAAAGATTTAAGAAATGCCTGCAAGTCAACCAATCTCTGTTTATTCAATAATATAAATTTGAATCACTCAAAATTTGTAGTCTGAAGTGACAACCATTTAAAATCCTAAATCAATGTTATACAAATGTTTGATGTTTGGACATGGCATGAAAATGTTGGTTCGGTGGGAGAAATCTACACATCGTTAATGGTGCATCTTATTCTTACCAACTAACATTTTCAGCAGCGTGAGGGGTGAGGTAGTGCCGTAGTCGCCAGACTCTGCAGCTCGTGAACTGTCCCGCACCAGACTTCGCGACCACATCACTCCCACCCTCGCTCGCCTCCATTGGCTTCCCATCCCCCAGAGGATCGAATTCAAGATCTTCATCCTCACCTACAAGGCCATTCATGGCCATGCTCCCTCCTACCTCTCCGACCTACTATCCCCTACCTACCTGCCTGTACCCTCCGTTCCTCCGGCTCCGGTCTGCTCCACATCCCCCGCCCCAACCGCCGTACCATCGGTGGCCGGGCCTTCAGCCTCTCAGCCCCTAGGCTCTGGAACTCCATCCCCCAGTGCCTTCACCTTGCTTCCTCCCTTTCCTCCTTCAAGGCCGGTCTCAAGACCTTTCTCTTTGACCGTGCCTTCAGCTCCCCTCTCGACTCTCTACGCCCTCCTCACTTCCTCCCTTCCCTCCCCTCACCCTGACCATTTCCCTCCTGCTCGGGTCCTGACCCAACTGTCCAGCGCCTTGGGACATCCTCCCGATGTGAAAGGCACTCTATAAATGGAATCTTGTTGTTGTTGTTGTTGCTGAGCTAAGGCTTCATTTAATGTAAGCCTTTGCTTCGGTGAAAATGTTAGTTGAAAAGAACATGTCATTCTACAGGCTACTATTAAGCATGCAACAAGTATGAGCAAAATAAATAATAACAGTAACTTGCAAATTGCTCCTCATGTGTAAATTTATTTGTTGGTCAGTATAACACAAACAGGGGTTACTTTCTGCAGTCACCACCAACAACAACTTGGATTTATATAGCGCCCTCCACGCCGGACGTCATCTCAGAGCACCAGTCTCCCACCACCAAAAAATATGCTCTGTGTTAACATTCATTTGGCAAGCATCAGTGAAAATTAAAGCTATGCTTCCAATTGTTATGACATTGGAACAAAATTACCAGAAATGACTCAAAGTAAATTATTGGGCTACAAGACTACTCATTACATCTTACTCCCAGTGGGTTCTTGTTCTCCAATTGTAAACCAGTAAATGATTAGAATATATATAATATATAATGTATATATAATATATAATGTATATATAGTATATAATGTATATATATGATATATATATAACATATAATGTATATATAATATATAGTGTATATATAATATATATATGTATAAACAGAGAAGCCCTGCAGTTCAGTGGTTAGACCGCTCGCCTCACTAGTGAGAGACCTGGGTTTGATTCCTGACAGGGCAAAACCTTGGGCAAGTTTCCTTACTCCACACACCTGATAATAATCCCTCAAGAAAAAAACCCAATAATAAATTGGTCAATCCACAACCGTTTGTGGGACACTGCTGTGTGCAATTGGCTGCTGCGTTTCACCCACAAATATACAGTCAATTCATTTTACTGTATATTCTGTGAAGTGTTTTGAGAAGTGATAAGGCACTATATCAAATGCAAGGATTATTATTATATATAAGATGGCCACATCATAATCCTCCATATCAATACAGTGCACACAGGGTTACTCACTAATCTTAGGGTAACACTCTTGGATACAGCAGCAGATAACCAACAGTAATAATAATTTTTCCATTTGATATAGTGCCTTATCACATCGAGATATCTCAAAGCACTTCACAGAATATACTGTAAACAGTACTGGTTTATGTTTTGCCAGAGAGTATTATTAGTCAGAGAACTAATCAGTAGCTCAGAAATTAATATTTGAAACCTTTATTCCATGTCCATTGATTCACAAAGGATAAGCTCCAACTATTACACTACCCACACATTTCAAACTAGTCACCAGTATTTTCAGATGACTCATGTCATT